TCCTCCCACTCCAGGAGGTGAAACAGTGCAAGGGGACGATCCTACGCAGCTAAGCTCAGTTGTTAAACACTGCAAACCAACCTCAGATGGCGTTGGTCACTCAGACGAAGCTCTCTCTCTCTCTCTCTCTCTCTCTGAGAAATTTGCAGGCATGGTCCAGGAGGTATCAAAAGCCAGGTAGGTATGTACAGTATACTCTTTATATGCGGTCACCCCTTTTTGGACAGGAGAGTGTTTACTGAGCATTGGCATCTCTGTTCTGGGTCAGCCGGACTCTGTGTCAGAGCGTGGCTCCAGCAAAACTGAAGTTACCAGTTGGCCTCAAATCCCTGTTCTTGCTGCCTGCTGCTGAAACATCATCCTTTACTACATCTGTCTACATTCCCCCAGTCAGCTGCAGTAAGACTAGGACTCCTCCTAAGAGGAGCAATAATGTAGACAAAAGTCCGTAGCACACAGTGTCAGAAAAAACTGTACTTTCCAAAATGCAGAAACTGCTCATTCCTGAATCACTTTTTTTGCTGCTCCCAGCCCTTATCCCTGGGCACATTAAAATTCTGAAAACGTACACTGAGTTGAAGCAGGTAAAATACACACAACAATTACAAAGACAGAGGATAAATGAAGATGACTGACAGCATCCCAAGTCACATTATGCACGAATATGAAGAGACTATAAAAAGATGTTCATCGAGACAAGTCTTTGAGCTTTTATGCTTGGAAGAATGAATCTCTGAGAACTGAAACATGGATACAGAACGGATTTTTCAGTGGGTGGCTTTCCCGCACCTATGCATATCTGTTCTTTGGTATACAATAAGTCATGGCATAACCATCATTCCTGCAGTTTACATGTATTAAATATTCATATGAGAGGTTTATATTTTGCATCTTCACTAATAAATGGTTTTGCTTGCTCCAGGACCAGCAAAAAAAATAGGTAGAAAGTTATTTGGGTTTTAATTTAATTTTATATCAGTACAGAAAGAATGACGTTTATTAGCATCTGGGCTGAAAAAAAAAAAAAGAAATCTTGATTTTACAATGTGGCTTCATTTGTACAGAAATGTGTTTATTTGAAGTTGTGGGGTTTATCTTTCTCTGATTATATTTGTATCCGTCAAACTTGTTTAGAGCCTGGCTTGGGGAGCTTTTGTTTCCATTCCATAGGTTGGAATTTAGTGAGACTAACCTCACTGAGACAAAATAATGATTAATTAAAGAAAAAAAGTATTTCAATCAATTAGACCTTGAGCTAGTATTTCCATCCTGGATCCATAGTACACTGAGTATATAGGGATGAGTGAATGAGTAGGGGTGAGTAAAGGAGGAGCTTGATTGAGGGGTTGCATTGCACTAAAGATAAGGACTGTACTATCCCGAGTTTCTGTGCCAAAAAGAGTGGTCATTGACTAGACCAGGTGCAGCAAGAACACTGAAATTCAAGACCAGTCTAAGAACACCAACCTCAAAAAAGCAGTTCAGGGGGTATCAAAGCCACTGTTACACACATTGCTAGATGAGAAACACACAGTGCCAGTTATTTCTCTGCAGCATCAATCAATAAGCCCAGTTTAAAATAACAAGAACAACAAAAAGACCCTGTAAAAAAGGAATACACCCAGGTACCTTCTCATCCACACACCAATAAATCCATGCCTGAGCTAGGTAAACCATGAGGTGGGTGAGTGGATGACTAGGGGTTTTTTGGGGGGGAAGTCGGCCTTACATGTTACGACTGCAATCACAGCTCAGCCAGTTTCACCCATTGGTGCAGTAGCCACTGGTCTAGACTGCATCCTATAAATTGCTTGGGGTGCTGCACAGGCACTCGTAAAGGAGATTAAGTCTATGCAATGTCATTAGATAAGTCACAGTCTCTTCTGTCAATCCAGTTTTACTTTATACAAATATTTGTTCATTCAGATTTTGTATTGGGCTACTGAATTGTCAGGAACCTGTAAGCCAGCGTGGGGACACGCATCTGGGGTACTTCCACCCATGTGGAGATGGAACTTGAACTTGAACCACCAACATATCCAATGAGTATCTAAATTAGAGGAATATGCTCTAAATTGCTAATAGAAATAGGTCTTTAAGGCTTTGATTCCAGTAGTTTACATTTACCAGCTTTACAACAGAGAAATCTAATGCAGTATTTGGCATGTTCCAGTTGGTAAAAGATTATGTTCAATGCAGTCAGGCTTTATATGAATTCTATCACTGATTTCATATTTGTTCATTTATAAGAAAAGGTTAATGTTTCATTTTATGTATGAGTGAAAGGAAGGAGGGTAATGGTGTTAAGTTTAGGAACCATATCTCCTCCTTTTTTTTTTTTTTAAAAAATGCACTATTGGTACACATCTCAGATGTGCCATCTAGGTAACAGAAAACAGGGGTTTGATGGGCATGGAGTTCCACAATTATCAGGAAAAAGGAAGGAAAAAAAGGAAAACAAAACATGACAGTAAAACCTTGAGTGTTATTACAGTCAGCAAATAGAATTCCAAATAAACTCTAGAAACAGAACATGTGGAAGTCATCTTTTTGGCCATTCTTGGGATATAAATGACATTTTAAAACATTAAAAGTGTATAGAAGTCCTAAATGCTTTCCTTTCTCTGAAATGTTATCTCTACTGTAACTTT